TGGCGCTTCTGACGCCGCTCAATGGTGCAATTATGCCGATAAAGCCATCTCCAGTCAATCTGTCCTCACTCAAGGACCACATAGCGCCAACCAGGGAGCGAGTACCAATCTGATCGACATCGTTCATGCCACGACAAGCACAGACTCATGGCTGTTTGACACAGGCTCTACCGTTCCTATTTGCAATAGCAAGAAGTGGTTTACTCGCCTTCGAATGGACCCTGACCTGGTCCCCTTTAACACTGGAGGAGGCCCTGTTACTCCTCAAGGTATTGGCGACGTGGAGATACCATTCATTACCTCCAACGGTGATACCGTCACTCGGACAATCTCTGGAGTACTATTTGTGCCTTCCTTTCCAATCAACATTCTCTCGGGAGACCAGATGTATCGCCAAGGATGGTATTTGATGATCCGCGATCTGTTTGACCCCCATGGTACATGGGTGGCATCATTCCACCAGGGAATGTACGTTCAGACAGAGATCTCTAGTGTCCAGAAGGACGTATACGGGATCAATCAAGCCCCGGACGTGTTCACCAATATGGTATCCGAGGATTCTTCCCAGGAACTGACCTCTCAAGCCAAATCTGTGGCGCTGAGACTACTCCACCGCTGGCATACAAGACTTGGCCACCGATCTATTGGTGACCTGATCAAGACAGCCAGTATCACCAAAGGGATTGAATTGCCGCCGAATGTACAAGAGCTGGCAAAAGAATTCACCTGTCTGGAATGTCTGGAGTCCAATCTACGTCGCCTAGTCTCTCGAGTTGAGCAGGAACATCCAGATCATGCTTTAGACCTGGTCCATATGGATACAGCCAAGCACTCTGTCCAAGGCTATGATGGTTCTCTCTATGCCACCGTATTTGTGGATGGCAAGTCTCGTTTGAGGGAGTACTGCCCTCACGAGAAGAAAGGGGAAGCTTCCGACCAAGCCATTCGCTACTGTGAATACGCTCACACCCAGTACGGGCGTTATCCAAAGCGATTCCGAATGGATGGTGGTTCTGAATACGCGAGATTCAAGCAATGGGGAGCTGAACGTGGTATCCTGTTCGAAGTCAGCGCTCCATACACTCCCGAGCAGAACGGAGTGGCTGAGAGATCCTTTGGCGTTATACACGCTCTCATTCGCAGTATTATGAAGGATTCCGGGCTACCTGAAGCCCTTTGGCCGGTTGTTGGACCTGCCGTATGTGATAGGCTCAATGTGAGCTATACATCTTTCCTCCAGGGCGTTAAGAAGACTCCCTTTGAAGTTTTCTTTGACGATCTGAACCCTGGAAAGGATAACAAGCCTGATTTGACGAATTTACTGTCAATCGGGCAGGCCGCTGTGGTCCATTTGCCGCAGCAGCGCCGCCCTAAGGGAGACAAGACCACTCCACACGCAAGGAGAGGTCGTATTCTTCGTTCCCTTGGTTCCAACCAGTACCAGGTGTATCTTACACACCTGAGAAAGGTTGTAGTTACTGCCCATCTTGAGATTTTGGATGGGTATGTACTTTCAAGGGATTTGATCCACATCTTTCCAAACTTCCGTGGTACACTCGATGACTATGAGATAACCAGACCCGATGCTGAAGATCTGCCAGCGCCGTCTTCACCAGAGGGCGCTCACGATCCTCAGCATATATATATCGAGTCAGATAACAGAAGGGATGGTAGAGATGATTCACCCCAACCAGTTGTCACGTTAGGGACCCCTCTTGGGTCCCCTGACGCTTCTGATAATGATGATGGTCATCATTCTGACTCTGGATATAGCAACCCTGAGCCTAGTACTGCTCTAGCTGACTCGATTCTTCTATCATCTGAACCACCTCGTCAAGAAGTAGCCCTAACGGCTGCTCCGAGGTCAAGAATCCAATCAGGGCTCAACCCAGAGAATGTACTCTCCGGAGGGCGCACTCGGAGGACTCACAACCACTACGTGGCCGAGTCTTCCACCCCTGGCATATCTCCACATGTTACGATCGAGGCATCTTATGCCAATTGGCCGTCTTCTGACCCTGATCAGGCACTTCCCCGTAATGACGAGCCTTTTAGCTACAAGGAAGCCATGGAGTCTGCCGAGGCACCTCAATGGCTGGATGGCACTCACACAGAGATACGGGCGTTGCTGCGCAATAATACCTTCATTCCTTTGTGGAGGTCTGATCTGCCTGCTGGGCGTAAAACTCTCTCTAACCGTAATGTTTATAAGCGGAAGAGGGACTCTGACGGCAACACCTCTCGGTACAAGGCTAGGGTGGTTGTACGAGGCTTCATGCAACGCCATGGCCTCGACTATTTCGAAACCCAGGCCTCAAGCGCTCGTACTACCACCTGGAGGCTCCTTCTAGCCATTGCTGCCGTTCTGGACTGGGAAATTGACCAGATGGATGCTGTATCTGCCTTCCTGATGGGAGAACTGGATAAAGAGATCTTCATGGAGACGCCTGATGGTCTCTCTGACTTCTTTGAGATGTATCCAGATGAGAATACCATCAACTGGAGACCTGGCATGATTATGAAGCTTGCGAAACCGTTATATGGGCTCAAGCAGAGCCCCAGGCAGTGGCAGAAGCGCATTCGCAGCGCTCTGAAGGACCTCGGATTCGACCCTCTGGTCTCTGACAACGCAGTCTATGTCAACATCAGCCGTGGCATTATAGTGATTAGCTATGTCGACGATTTCTTCATTTTGGGGGCTAATCGTGACGGGATCGCTGCCTTCAAGAAGGAACTAGGTTCTACATTTGAGATAAAGGACATGGGAGCTGCTGAACACTTCCTAGGAGTCCACATTGTCAGAAACCGAGCTGAGAGGACGTTATATCTCTCTCAACAGACGTATGTGAGAAGAACTGTGGAGGCGTTCGACCAGCAGAACACTGGCAAGATGAACGTGCCGATATCTCCTCAAGCAGTGGAACAGATGGAGTCCCTGGACAACGACCTTGAGGTCGATACACGTCCTATTCAGACATACCAGTCCCTGATCGGTTCTGAGAACTTCCCTGCGTCGTATACGAGACCAGATATTGCATACTCTATGGGTGTTCTCTCGCGATACCTTCACAACCCTGGCTCAGCCCAATATAAGGCCGCTCTGGGCCTACTTCGCTACTTGTGGCACTCTCAAGATCTTGGGATCAAATTTGGAGGTCCCAAATATGTCAGGAAGACCCGCCAGGAGGTCCTTGAGATGATTCCGGATCTGCTGGTTGGTTACTGTGATGCCAGCTATGCTGGAAGCATCAAGACCAGCGCCAAATCCACCTCAGGCTACCTGTTCACGTTTGCTGGGGGCGCTGTCTCCTGGGCATCCAAGCTGCAGACTGTTGTGGCTCAGTCTACTGTGGAATCGGAGTACTACGCACTCTCTGAAGCCGTCAAAGAGGCTGCCTGGCTACGAGAACTGATGCTGGAACTTGGTTTCACTCTGAATGCTATCAACATCCATTCAGACAGTGCTGGAGCTATTAATTTGGCTCAGAACGCTGAATTCCATCGTCGAACTAAGCACATTCGAGTCAGGGAACACTACTTTCGTCAGGAGATCTTGGAAGGCCATATACGGCTCTCTTTCTTTGGAACCAATGAAATGCCTGCAGACGGTCTCACCAAAGCTTTGACAAAGGCAAGGTTCTTCAAGTTTCTGGAGTTGTTAGGACTGGTTCATGTAGAGGGGTGATATTCTGGTTATGTTAATTCCCTCAGTCTGAGAGGGCGTGTTGGATTCTGGGCTACGTTAGCCCATCCATAGTCATCCTTCAGGATCACCATCCCCATTTGTGACTCTGTCACATACGTGGCCAATATAAGGCCACGTATCCTTTCCTTTAGTATCTTGGATATATATAGGGCCATTCTGGCCGCTCCAGAGTAGCTGGAATTCCTCTCCTTAATAGAACACTTTGAAATCTAACAATCACACCCACGTTGAGGATCATGGGATCAAACGAACAGTCAAACAAGCAGTCAAACAGCGACACCACACCACATCTCGTCACCACCACAACGCAGCATTCAGCATTTAACACGTCACTCGCAGAGAGCACGTCAAACAGCTCCCTTCGAGCATTGGAAGCTCAGCTGGTTGAAATGAAGCGCCGCCCCGGGTCGCAGTTCTTCTCTTCCAACACGACGGACAACTAGCCACGCATGGCCAGGCATCCGTCCCAGTTCCGGGCACGTGCCCTACAATTCCACATACAAATAGACCACCATCTAGCAGACAGCAGATAGACCACGATCAATACCATAACATCTTCGACCGTTACCATCCTATCTGGTACCCTCTTCGGCTATTCTTCTTCTTCGAATACAGACCATTCTGAAAAATCTAACAACTTCTGGCTCTCCTTTTCCCAAAGGTCTAATCTGAATCAATACGCAGCTGGAACGTTCCAAGCCGCCTCTGCCCATGTGCTTGGTACCCTCAAAATATAATGCTTGAGCATGTGTAGACTAAGAACCTTGCACTCACCCATGATAGATGCTGGTATAGCCAGAGTAGACCATGGGAACACCAAGCTTCGGGGTGACTCATCACAAATATCTTCAACGTGAAGTCTCAGTTGTAGCTTGCTGAAGGAAAGGAACACAAATAATAGCACGACAGCAACGCGGACGAGGACAACGAAAGGTAGTCATAGAAGACAGTATGTTCATGTTAAATGAAATTGGTATATACAGATACGAATCTTCACACATCAATCTAAACTCCATTCTCCGCGAATCGAGTGTGTGACCGAGGGGTTGCATCAACCCATCTTACCCCCGTACCAAAATCTAATTTATCTCTCGCAGCTACCTAGGTCAGCACCTAGTTGATGCAATGCAAATGTAGCAAACAGACCTGTGGTCTGCGGAACTCGAACGCCGAATAATGCCATAATGCTTCATTAATGGTTCCTGGAAGTGTCTTTCGCATCTTCCCCAAAACGGCTCGTTCTCGTCCAGCGTATATGTAGTGTCGTAGTCGTACAATTGAAGAGTCGGCAGCATCAACCAAATGGCAGGTGGGAATCGCTCTCAAAGCCTGGTTCCGTGGGAGCAACGTCCTTGATCGGGTGCATAAGAATTGATGGCAAGCAAATGCGTCCGTTTTCCTCTTCCCACGTTTCGCCGCCGATGCCGGTATCCTCGTAGCCCATCAGGTTGTTGTACAGCCGCTGTGGAGGTGTGGCTCGGTAATACCAGGTGGTACCACCATATCTGGCCTCACGGCCCCAGCCCATGGCCGAGTTGAAGCCTCCACTTTCGCCTTTTCGACCGCTGTTGAACCACCTGCCGATGTCCTTGCCTTTCCATGCCCTGTCAAAGAAGATGGGCATCGGTGCGTACACCGTCTTGAGACCGTGCAGAAGCGCGATAGTTTGGCAGGTCATTTCAGAAGCAATGTGGTTGCCTCGAAGGTTTTCGACATGCATGATGTCAAGGAGCTTCTTGGAGATTCTCGAATGCGTCACGATAGTGGCGCGGCGTGGGAGTTGTTGGGTTGCATGGGTGGAATCATTAAATCCCCACAAGTCATTCCCGCCAATCCAGCCGCTGTCCTTGACGTTGAAGATCGGGGCAACAGTAATGAGGTCAGCCTCTTCGCCCACTCCCCATTTGTAGTCGTCTTCCTCTGGCCTCTCGACCGGAGGCTTGGGCCCAACAGGGGTGATGAAAGGCAGACCGATGGGCCCCCATACTGTCTCCTTTCCTGAGCGCTCCTCCACATCCTTTCGGAAGTCCGTATCGTAGTCACCGTGAAGGGAAGGGATGTAGTAGCGCTCGTTGCGCTCCCAAAGACCCCGACGGGGCTGTCGTTTTGAGAAGGAGGCAAGTTTCTCCAGGAAGTCGTAATGATGACCAGTGATTCGTGCATCCATCTCCCAGTTCCAGATGTAGTCGAATTCGGGGAATTCCTGGGCAAACTTCTGAACGGAAAGCCACTGTGCCACATGGACAGTGGCCTGTTCGGGGTTCAGTCTGGGGTACATGGCTTGTACTGCCTCATCGTTCCACAGCACCGCAATGTCCCTGAACTCTGCGGGGACGTTCTTCTCGAGCACGTACTGGTATGTTGCCTCGTCATCCCAGATCGCATAGGCGTTGTCCTTGACATGGACAAATAGGAACACTTGGTACTGGCCACCCGTTCGCAAGGAAAGCTCAGTGATGAGCGCGCGGATCGCCTGCTTGTCGTTCTCATTGTACTCTTTGCCGATGTACGTGCGAAGCAACAGGGCGGTTCTGGATTCCGTGCTGACTTTAGGCTTGTCGGAAGCGGGCTTCCCTAGTAGTCCTCTTCGATAATCCGCCATATGTCCTCTTCGCAGGTTGTCGTCGTGGTCCGGAAGCTTGGGCGCGTTGTCAAGGTCATAGTCAGTCTCGGCCCCGTCCCATGGAGTAGTGTTCTGCCGCGAATAGACCGAGGTCACATAAGGGTTCGGCTCGCCCACCAGGCCGAAGCGCGCCTTGTTCTTCTGGACACACTTCTCTTGTAGCCTGCCCCATTGGACATTGTCCCAGTCGACCGACGGTATGGATGTGTCGTTCGCGTTCTGGAACCCGTACATGCCGAGCCTCGTCTCTCGCTCGTAGCACAAATCCCCATCGATGCCGAGAACGCTGTAGCTACCGATACCCGCGGTAGGGAAGCCCTTGGGTAATCCTTTGAATGCCATGATGTCGCTCACTTCCTCGCCTGTAGGCCCCTCACACGGAGAGTACCTGGCTCTTTCGGCCAGCCATGCCTTCTTGTTGTAGTTGGGGTAGGGATTGTGGATGTATGGTTGTTGAGCGCTGAAATAGGTCAGGTTGTCGGCGGGGGTCAGATGAGCCTCCATCTCTGCGGGTCGGTCCTTCGTCGTGGACAAAGTCATGAGAGTCTTGCCATAGAAGGCATCGGCACCGGGTTCCCTGCAGTCGTTAGAGGAGGTTCTCAACACTATTGCGCTACCACACTCACCTTCCAAGCTGCTCGTGTTCCATGCCAAATTGTTCGCGGAGGGCTACCTCCTTTTGATCCTCTGCCTCTTTCATCTTATCTTCAAAGCTCTTTACGTAAGTTGGACTGTTGGGGTCGCTCAGATCCAGGTATTGTAACGAGGACACCTCCTGCTTCTGTTCGGGGGTCTCGGCCTCGGTGATGGGCTCGCTGGGCGCGCTGATGGGCTCCTGGGCCTTGGGGCTGTCTACGGACGGAGCGTTCGAGCCGCCGTCGTGATCTTGAGCGCCGTACCAACTTTTGGTGTAGCCGCCACCGTAGCCATGCAGTAGAAACCAGTACAGAGAAGCAACAGTGATTGCAAATATCACCAGACCTTTCGGCCGCGACAGCCAGCGGCGGGGCTGCACTGCCAACATTGTGTAAAGTCGATGTAAATACCCACTACGATCCTCCAACTGGGTGAAAGCGGCCGGTCAATCGGTTCGTAACACAGTTCGAGCTCAAGGCAATTGGAAGATCATCTGCATCATTCAAGGGGTGAGTACAGTTGCTGAGCTGGGGTCCAAGCCTTCCGATGCCTGTATGTTTGAAGGTTTTGGTGGTCGGTCTGTTTGACTCGTTGTCGGGCTGCTTGAATCATTCGACTGGTGCAAGTGGGCGAGGTCCCGAAGATGGGACGAGGTCGTGAATAGGTAAAGGAGCGTGATGACTTCTGTCAAAGAAGTCGCAGGAAGCAAGGAGGCGTACCAGTTCGGCGCGGCTCATCAAAGAGGGAGGGCTCCGTTGGCAGGGAGGGTAGGACGGATGTGATGGTCAGACCTAGGGTTAGGTTGGATGGGGTCGCCGAGACAAGCGTCGAGGGCGAGGAAGAAGGTCAAAGAGGATCTGCTTGCGAAGAAGAAAGAGCAAGACCAAGACTATCTTAGGGACAAGGAGGAAGGAGGAGATAAGGGCAGAAGGGGAGGCTGCCTTCCCTGTCGCACTGTCGAAGAGGCAGAGAGGAGGTAGAGAGGAGGGAGAGAGGGCACAAAAATGATGATATGCGGATGTCTTGGCCGTGCAGCAGTCGCAGCAGTCGCAGCGGGTACCCGACAGTGCGGCGACAGGAAGAGACGAAGGTGCAGTGCAGGTGGGACTTCCAACTTCCTTGCCAGCTTTCGTGTAATTAGCGCCTGCCTCCTTTTCCCCGTGGGCCGATCTACAGTGATTCCCGAATGAGGCTTAGCGTGTTGATAGGGGCAGTTGCCAGCCTGCCGCCTGCCCGCCAACTCACAATACCTTATAGTCCAATTTGTAACAACCGTCTCTGACTCTCTGCATGTTATCAACCACAGATGATATTCCTTTTCCACTCAATGCTGTTGAGATCTAACTGTTGCATTCACCAGGACCAAATAACCCCGATGTCCATTCGCTCTATTGTAATTACTATATATAAGGCGGTCAAGGGGGAAGAGGATTTGCCCCGTCTGATGATGAAACAAAAGCCCTACTAGTACACAGTATAGGATCTGGGATTGATACAGGGGGTTCCTGCCCCCACCTCTCTCTGAGGTCATCGCCCCCGAGTACAAAATGAGTACCTAATAAGAGATCGGTATTACACCTGGGGACTATATCGTACAGTCTCTGGATGAAGCCATCACACAGTGTAACCTGTAGCACTGGCTGACTGGGCTTGGTTGGCCGTCCATCTGTGGATGTGGTATCTCATCTGACCAAACGAGGGTGATGAGCGACTAGATTGCTTCCTAGGCCGACAACAAGCTCCCTTGGTTGCTCCATTCATTTAATTAACTTGATACGAACAGTTCAACAAGTCTCGCCAGAGGTTGGGTTCGTGTCCATTGGATATTATCGACTTTTTATCACCGGAGTATGGTAGAACTAAACGTGCTGCAGGCCTATCAAGACCTCGGCAGTGAGGTATGTTGGAGATCCCGGCCACCCTCTTCCCTTTGAATGGATGCATGACATATTATCTGAAACATACGGCAGCCAAGAGCCGGCTGAGAAGATTCTTATTCAGCGTCAGCGGTGATTCATCAGGTCTGGTTCTTGCCGTCAGCCGTATGGCCGTCACGACAGCGGCCTATTAACAGAAAAGACGTCCCATGGGATGCAAATCACAGCCCCAGTCCATGAAGTAAGGTTGTAGTTGGCTGATACCTTTGCCGGGCCGCGCGTCCGTGCCTCATCCTGGCCGCTGCTTCGGTAGGTATGGCTTGGAATTTCACTTCGCTGTCGCCAACATCCCGCGTCGCACCAATTCACAAGTGCAAGCTTCAACCTTAATCAAGTCGAAGCCCATGACACAAACTACCGTTAACGGACGCCTGTTGGACTATCACACCAACGGTCGCTGAAACGAGGTACAACGGTACAGCTAGGAACAGGGCATGATGGGGATCGGCCCAAGGCGAGCTCGTTCAACGGTTCAAAAGCGCAGCAGAGAGAAACACCTGCGACCCGTATCCCGCTGCTGTGCCTCTTTCCCCCATACCATTCTCGTCATCCCGCAACTCATTACAGCCGTGCCCCTTTCCCCCTCGGTGCCATTCTCCGAGCCGCAATGCAAGATCCGAAGTTTGAGATCTACTGACTGCGATCTGGAGACCCAGCGCCCCGGCAGTGCCCGGTCGCGTTTCGAATAACCTTTCGCGGGGAGAATGGGGGTGTCACCTGACAGCGCCGCCGTAGACCGATACACCTTTGCACGACAGTAGTGCCACAGCCACAGCCAGAGTGCATGAACGATAAAGCCCCCAGAGATTGCCGAAGCCGTCCAACGTTTCACACGCAAACGATATCCGGGAAGATGCTCCTGCGTCTGTGTGCGCAGTAACAGTAACAGTAGCAGTAGCAGTAACCAACGCCAACAGTCTGGCTGTCTGGGCCAGGAGCCACCCTCCATGTTGCCAAGAATAGAAGGGCAATCTATCTCTACCACCAGTCGCTGTCACACATTTACGCCACCTAAGTATGCACGAGCAAGCACACAGCAGACTGCAGAGGGTGTTTCACCACCTCGGTCGCTACCGATCACGAAATGGGCCGATCGTGCTACTCCAATTACGGTACACCAAACAGGCTGAAAAGGTGTTTCCCCTTCTTCAAATACGGCCATAGGGCCACAGGGCCACCATCAAATCAGCGAAAGCAGCACCGGTCGACCAGCACAAGCGCCCAACCGTGAAACACGGCGGAACCGACGCATCTCCAAGCCTGGGACCAATCTATTGTCTCCCCCAATCATTCAATCCGTCATCGAGTAATGATGCAGTTTATACATCTCAACCTATGACATGTCACGAACCCAATCGCCATCGATGGATGGTAGCTACTGAGCACATATCCCTCCCTTTCAAGCCCGGCATCCTCACACGGCAGACAACAGCACGGCAGCACGGCACACGGCATTACACTGGTACCGCATTATTTAGGATGCCGGTACTTCACCATGTGCCACCCACGGGCGCGCGCGCACGCATGGAAGCCATCCCGGGTGGGAGGAAGTACCGCATCGCCAATCAACTAACCAGTGCGGATAGGTAGGCAGCAGCCTATCCGCCTGCAGCCACATCCACCATCCTATCTTCCAGGCTGCGCTGACAAGCTCTAGTTGCATATGCTGCCAGGTTATCCCTCGTCCTTCTGTGCAGGTGGCTTGCTTGAGGCTTGAGGCCGCATGTGTGAAGTTTAAAGCGCTTATGTACGTGTCTATATATAGGTAGGTAACGCGACTCCGCGTAGACAGGTATGGTATGACCTCACCTGAGCCCCGTAACTCAGGTACGGCAAAGGAGAGATGGATGATGCAGCACCTGACAAACACTACCCTCACCTGATTTACCTACCAAAATTTGATGCCGGGCAACCCTTACACAAGGACCCTACCCATGGTCTCTAGATATGTACCAGATCTATCATCCATCTCACATGTAGTCACACCGGACTGGAGCTTAGGGTAGCGAGGGTGTCGTATCACCAGAGGGCTGATTACTCTCTACTTCCTACAGTGTACATGTACACGAGCCAAGACGGCCGTTTGCAGTGACGCTCCTTCGCCGTAAAAAGTTACACGCATCGAGATTCACATATTGGACTCCCAGCTGTGTAACGAGGAAAAATGAAATCGGCACAAGTCAGATCACTTGTAAGATTACGTGTGGACGGAGGACAGCAGGCGCAATTTGAAGAAGTTACGGGCATAGGTAAACAGTGGTAGATGGATGGGTAGGTAGGTGTAGATTGCAGTCGTCTACGATAGATCGATGGCGAGCTCCTACGCTTCGAATACATGCCCAAGATCCCGATATCAGGTAGCACCCAAGTGCGTGCAGGAACCCGGAGGCCATCCCGTCCGGTGCCGTACGTCTGTCTGTCCGTCCGTCCATCCCGCTTCCAGACCCAACGCCCGTTCCCGGTCCCCGCTACCGCTCCCGTGCCATCCCGGCTCATCTCACTCCAACTCCAACTCCAACCCCAACCAAGCGGCTCTCCAAGAGTCTGATCACCACCAATTATAATAATAATAACGACGACGCAGCGCGCGCTGTCCCGAACCAGGACACGTCTTTCGAGAAGCGGACAAAAAACACCTCGCCATGGGGGTATATAGAGGTATAGTAACGACATATGTGCATGTACTGCCCAGAACGAAAAGGGTATATGGAGAACGATGAACTGAAGGGGGCGTCTGTCCGTCTCCGAAGAGGAAGATGCCCGTAATGAAAAGAAGAAGATCCGTTCAACGCCAATGCTGCTGGTCTGACCCGACCGAGGCTGTGGTCGGGTCGGACGGGAAACAAAAGGAAAAGTCGGCGTATCAGTCGTTTCGCGGCTCGAGGGCAGGAAGGAGTACGTAAATTGGTTTCACATCATGCCCAGCCTCGTCATGCGCTTCTCCATCCTGGGAAGCGGCGGGCTGGTCGGCGATAGACCGCCGCGGCGCAGGGCCTGGCCCGGCGCGAGGCGGTTGCCGGTCGGGAGGCCGAACGGTCGGTTCAGCGAGCCGACCTTGGACGCCGGGTTCGACGGCAGTCCTCTCGGCGGTGGCTCCCGCACGCTTGGCCTCGGCTGCGGGATGTGTATGCTCGGAATCGGCTTTTGTGTCGGCGCCGGTGCTTGTGTCTGCTGTGCCTGCATCCTCTTCCACGCATCCCGCTCGCAGTACGCCTTCCCATTAACGTCAAAGTACCCGTCGCGGAGCACGACGCCGCAGTCGCCGCACCGGAAGCACCCGGGGTGGTACTTCTGCGGCGCCTCGTCCTCCAGGTACTGCCCCTCGATGCCCTTGTTGCAGCTCCCGCACAGGCTTCCGTTCAGCTTGTGGTAGTGCTGCTCGCAGTACGGCTTGTCGTCGTGGACGTAGAAGGTCGACGAGGAGAAGGGTTCCCGGCACGTCGTGCAGACGAAGCAGGCCTTGTGGTAGCGACCGGTGAGTCGGCCGTCCGCCGACGAGATCGACTTCCCTGTGATCGGCTCCTTGCACGCCTTGCAGTTCCCACGCGAGCGTTGGTTCCGAGACGGCTGGCGGTTGTGTGATCCCCGAGGGGGCGACAGACTTCGGCCTCCGAGTACGGCGGGATCGCTACGCCCTGCAAGGAGATCCAGCATCTCCGGCGATCTCAACGGCGACTTTTCCGGTATTTTGAATGGTGATCCCAGTAGCGTGTCTGCTCCTCCCTGTACGGCCGGATCCAGTCGAAGACTCTCGGGCGGCCCACGTCGGTTGCCGGTCTTAAGCGTCTCGATCTCCTTCTCTGGAGCAGACGGGGCAGTGGGCGTCAACGGTAGCATCGCATCCATCGAGTTCTGCAAATCGTCCATTAGGGCATCGAACCCGGCGGTATCTGACGGTTGCCGTCTTCCCACCCGAGAGCCAGTCGATCGAGCTGGACTGGTATTCGAGCTCGGATGGCTGGGCTGTGAGGTTTGGCTGAAGCCAGAGTTGCTGGATGATTGCGACACAGAAGGCGCGTGGTAGGGGTTGGCCACGCCAAACTCATCTGCAAGGTTGACGGACAGGTTGCCGCTGCCATCCCGTGTCGGTGGCCGCATCAGGCTCTTGCGAGGAGGTGGTGGCCGGGAGGTATCTCGCAGTCCGAAAGACGGTCGTTTTGAACGTTCACTCGTCATTGTCATTCGTTCGCTAGCCTTGCTCGATGGCCTCCGTAACCGATCCGGCCTCGGGCCCGGTGCTGACGGCATCCGCGCGGGTGCATCATCGTACTCCTCGTTACTAGACTTGAGCAGTCTGTCCGGGAAAGTTTCCGAGCGTTTGCCGAGACCAAGTGGTTGCGGATCGTAATCCTCACCCTCCCTTTGGGGTGGTCCAAACCCGCCATACCCGTTGTTACGGGGTATCCTGGGTGGTGCGATGCTTGCGCTGTTCACCGACGACCCTGAAGCCGCAGTCCCCGGCCTGTCTGTGTAAGACCCTACCCGCAGAGAGTCGTCACCCGAATCGACTGTCTCGTCTCTGCTGCTAGTGCGCGCAAACGCGTTCTTCGCTCCCGGTCTCCGGCTTATCTCAAAGGGCCCCGGGGCAATGCTGTTCATCCTCGTCAACAGGCTCTGCGCCTGCTTGTTCGGGCTCGTCCCATACGTCGCGTCCACATCATACGATTCTGGCTCTGCAGAGAACTCTCCATATCCACCGGGTCGCCGAGGTGAGCCTGCTATCGCTGGTGTGAAGTAGTCGTCCTCAGTGGCACCAACATCGGGCCGCCCGTTCGTTGGCGTCTTGGGTGAGATGGTTTGAGAACCGGTCGAAGCGCTGACCGGCGTCAATTGGTCCTGTCTCGCAAATGTTCTGTCTGTGGTGATTACGCAGTCAGCAGATGTGGTAGTGGAGTTTTGGAAGCAGCAAACATACTTGCGGCGGATGTGTCTACAGCCGGCGGTGCTCGAGAAAACTTATCCAGGACGTTTTGCTTCAGCGAAGAAAACGCGCCACTCAGAAGATCTGGCATCGGAGGTTCTGTGTCAATAGTCAGCGTCCAGTGTCCAGGATTTCAGCCGCCAATGTCTATCCTGTGAGCAAGTCACGTACGTTCCGGTGCTGCATCTTCCCCGCTGCAAAGGTGATCTCCCATCATCGATATCTGGACCTGGTTGCCACAGTTGGAGCATTTTATTGTCGGCATAAAAGCCGACTGTCGTGGAAGTCCCGCCATAACCCACGGATTGATTGTAATGTTGAGTATTCCTCCTCTTGTCCCTTCCTTCGCCCTATTCAGCAAGTTTTGATCGACTTGATCCCACGCATTCGTCAGCCCTCTGGCCGATTCCGTCTCTTGAGGTTTGATCTGAGACCACTACCCTGCAATATGCAGGTTCCCGCCGATGTTGTTGATAAGCGCCGGGTCTGGATCGGGATATACTCCGATTTAGAAGTAATATATCGGTCAATACGATGAATTGGTCGACTGAATGATGAAAGAGTCAAGATTGACCGACTCTGCAGGTCGAAACTGGCAATCAGAACCAGAAAATCCACAATGCTGGTTGGACGTGGACGGAGTGTCGAGGTGTGCACTCCAACTGGCACAGGCGGTGTCTGGGAAACAATGGGCTTGTGATGCGATAGGGCGCCTGTGGCAGCCGTTAATGTCTGAGAGAACCGGCTGTATCAGTCTCGGCTCAAGCAATTGGCGGAGAGGGGACGGAGATCTGAGGAGACTGAGGTCGTGCTAAAGGTCGGTGAGGAGACGTCTCTCGGGGTCCTTGGGGGTTGCGAGGAGCGTCTCGAATGGGTGGAGGGCGTTGACACGATCCCTGCAATGGCCCCCCTTGGCCCTGGTAGCGATTTGATATGCACGGGTGTCCGTACAGGGAAGTGATGCTACTGGCTCCTTGTCCTGCTTGGCGACTTGCTTGTAACGGGAAAGGGGATTTCCTCTTTGGGGTTGTCGAATACTACACGGCACTACTCCTTGCATCAAATCAGCTAGGTCTGGACGAAGGGCACAAAGCGGCGTTTGCAGGCTACTGTGAAGGGGACGCTATCTGCTGGAAAGAAGGGTAGACCACGACGGCGCTGGACGGACGAACGAACGAACAAACTACTCACAAATAGTCTGGGGATAGCCCGAGTAGGTGCTGACCTATTATTATGATCACTTCACGAGGTTTGTGGTCCTATGACGCGTTGGTTGGTATCAGGTGAATGTGATTCGAAGTTGTAACACCATCTGTTCTGTTGCTGTTCGCGTATTGTGAAGCGTACTTGTTGTATCGGATTCAGCTTACTGGCATCAAGCCTGTGAATCTGTCCCTGTGATCAATCCCTCAGGATCATCCAAGCTGAACCGGCTGACTGCTAAAGGCTGAAGCAGCGAGGATCGAGACGGACGGTGCCCCTTTCCTGCTGTAACGGTAATATTTCGAGAACGATTCTTTAGATTATGAGAACCAGAGACCATTTCGACCGGCTCTGTTGACTAAGGCTGTCAGTAGACGGAAGCACTGGTTCCCGTGGCCCCTACTGCCGTCTACTTTCGACTATCTCGATTCCAGATCCAACTCTATTGACGCCTCTTGGTTTGGCGCCGAGGCACTAGAGTCTAGAAATGATGAAGAACGCCACGGTTGTTATGAGCGACGACCACCCGCAACCCCCAATCCAGCCAGCCAATTGGACTGAGACCTCGTTGGACTCCCGTCGCCGTTTTAGCGCTCGTTCAGTGTGGACACTGGACAGGGACCAGGCACAAGCCCCTCCGAGTGCTGTGCGACAGAACAGGGCAAGGGGCAGGGGAGTTTGTTTCCATACCTCACCTGCATGTGGGCACAGATACGCGCACTAACGTCCTAGCGTCGCTGCGATGACCGGGCTGGCACGGGTTCCTTGCAGCTCTGAGCTCACCCAGCCAACGGTGATTCGCGCTTGGGTAGGTGGGGCGATGGATCGAGTGGCACCCAGATCCTTGTATCCCAAATGAGGGTCCTCTTTGAGCTCTCGGCCCCTTTTGCGATCAAGGACCATTCGGGCAGTTCAATCTGCATCATTTGACATTCATTACCAGGCTCGTCTCGTGGTTCAATGCTATTCAACAATTCGAATGTGATGGGCAATGCATCTGCCGAACCAGGTCACAGAGTCGTATCAACTCTATCTGGAACACTTTGAAGTGAACACTCGACTCCCTCGAGGTCGCTTCGAATACATAAATAAACACAAAGCCCGCCGTCTGGCTGACTGTCATGACAGGTTGTCACGGGAGACCAGACGGACCTGACATGACGACTGTACTATCTTTGTCTTGTGCCTATCAAATAGGGTCTTCCCCACCGATGATTATCACCGCAATAGGCCGTTCCGCTTCTAGATTGGACGTCATTTCTGCAACTCATCATCTCATCCGCGTATGATTTGTGGTGAAGTGAAGATGCTAGACCCTGACCGACACAAGGGGCCTCAGATGTGCAAGGGCAGAATGGGTCCGGAAATATCACCTTGGAGATCGGATATGGTTCACGACATTTCGATTTGCCTATCTTCGCTATCTTGGCGGCAGTGGATCTGTTCAGATGACCTCCACCCGTGGACGCATCAGCATGGCGGATGGGTCGAGCATTTGAGACTTGCGAGATGGTAGAGCACGACGGTTTGAGAACTTGAGAATATGTCTCCCATCCACTGGCAACTGCATGACGACGAACACGGAAGATGCCGGCTGTACTGGCATCTCGTGTTTTAGAACGTGAGGCACGTCGCAGCGAAGCAAGCCATGCCGTTTGCCCTACCGCTTCCTGCGTCCTTCAGGGCAGCCCCTGTCTGTCACAAGAGGCCACGAGCCCTGACCGAGATGATCTTCAACGGCGGCAAACTTGGGTCATCCCGGCTTAACGCACGGACATTCGGCCTTGGTGCATGCTTGGCCTTGCCGTGATGTGGGTGGACTACAGTCATAGCGGACGATATGCGATGGACGAATGCCACGATAATTCATCGCGTTAAAGCCGCAATTCGCGGTTTGGGACACCTCAGGATAGCCCATGAACCAAGAGTGAGAATCTCCATGAGGCTGAAGAATACGCTTGCCAGGCCAACCGTCACATTCTGTGTATGTCTCAAGTGTCTCAAATCTCTCGCCACGAAGGTGTTTTGCTTGGGGCTGGTAGACCAAGACGTGTCTCATGCTGGATGCGTCTGGACGCGTCAGCAGGGAAAGCTACTGCCTTTAATAATCGAGATGTCTAGCCCCACATCGTTTTTTACTTACATACACACATAAAAATAATATCGCGCCCAATAGTTAGATTGCTTTTCATAAACTATTTAATTAATTATAATTTACTTTCATTTTATTTAAATTTTTATTACTTTTTAAATAATTAAAAACTCAATGTTACCTTTAACGTAAATAATAAGCGAGCTGTGAGGTGGGGCTTTTATACAAAAAAGTCTGTGCGTAACTGTGCATCTTGAAAAGGCTTTTTTTTTAAGGATAGTTTTAACCTGTTTTAAAATAGATCTTAAAATAAAATAGCTATAAACCTAGAAAAAGTGATATTAATATATTTTTTAAGTTATAAACTTCAAAAAAAGGTCCAGAATCTTTCCGATTTTTTTTCACTAAGTTAAAAATTAGCGCAACGACCTTTTACATAAAAGCCCTACCTCGCAGCTTGCTTATTATCCAAGTTATAAGGTCATATTAAAAGTAAGTAAGGATATTATATTATAAAATACACTTAAATCCCTTAATTAAGAAGATTATAAAGCCTCAAAAATGTTATTAATATTACTTTTCGATTTCTATTATAAACTAGAACGAATTAATTCAAATTAAGTCAAGTATTATATCCACGTATTATATAAAAGCCATTTTTCCTGTTATGATTATTTTTACTTAAATTTACATATTTAAACTTTATATTTATATGTAATAATTCTATTTGTGATAGTTCTACCATCCATCAGGTCTATCGATGGTCCCCATGGTTCCCGGGTCACGTGATTGAGCACGTGACTGATCGGACGATAGGTTGTTCCATGCCCTGGTAGGTCTGGTAGGGGGACGACTGCCCACATCTAGCTGCCCAACAATTTGGGTGCATCTCCAGATCTTTCTTTTCCTTTAACCAGAGTTCGTTATACGCCAATAGTTAATAAGGGTCCCTGTATCTTTGTAATACATATACGGAATCGTGACACTATTTAATAATTCTTTCCGTTTTTATATTCGGGGTTTTTTTAACTCATTTTCTTGTTATTAAAAGATAAAAATATTAAATAAGCGACGTTATATTAATTATAATAACGCAACTTAAAAAATTGTATAGGCGTAATAACGCTATTCATATTAAAAAGTGTTATAAAGTATATTATAAGTATAATTAAATAAATTTTCTTTATAATATTAAAAGGTTAATAATATTATTAATCGCTTATAGTATTCGCACATTAAATATAGTTCAAAATCGAATAATTATTCGATTTAAGCCTTTTTAAAAAAGTATTTTTCTAATAAATAAGCGTAATTAAACAAACATAACTTCCAAAGGATTTTGCTAAGTAAACTATTTATTTTAAAGCTTCTATAATAATATTAACGGTATCTTTTTGGCTTTATAAAATTTTCTATTTTACGAAGTATTTTATTATAAATTATGCCTTTTTTAATAAAGGCTTTAAATATTCTTTCAAAACTTAAAAAAAATAAAATTTGAAAGCTACAAATTTGTGACGAGCCGTCTAACCTATAAGGCTAAAGGGTTCTATAGGGTTTATGTTCTGAGGTAAGTGAACACAAAAGACGATAGAGGCTTCTGTCAACTAAAAGACACTCAAATGCTGGGGCTTGGTCTGAACTGGGTTCACTGAATAGTCGAGTCGTCAGGAGATTTCTCCCACCTTAGGGTTGGCTAAGATGCTTAGATTGATCACTGAGGTAGAGACGGTTTATCTATCTAGCTGGGAAATGTCTGTCCTTATATATCAAATCTCTTTCGCACTGATGGAGTAGGATCACCTTGTCCCAGAGTGATGCTCACTGGCTCACTCTCCGATCCAGTGATCCTTGTAGGCTCAATTCGTGATCCAGTGATCCGTCACGTGACCTTTGTTATGTAATCTGTAATACCCATTATT